TTTCATGTCAATTGCCCTTATGATCTTTGATTTAATGTTTTAAAGTCATCACATCAGAAATGAATTTGATCGGCATCTGTTTTCGATCAGCAGACTGAATTACCCAACAGTCCGGTTGAAGCAGTAAAAACAAAAGCGATGGCCGCACTGCGCTTGGAACGGTCTTCTCAAAATGTTCTGACAGCAGTTGCATAAATGTTTGTCTTCAAGTTTGTTGGCCAGAATCTTCTTTGGGAACCCTGGCTTATTGTTCTCCATGGAGGACGGGGGAGAGGGTTCTTGAGCAGCCATGTCCTCCTCTAAACCTTCCTGATCTAAACCAAAGAGAATACACAGTGGCAGAAAACTCCTATTAAACATAGATAACAACTTAATGGACTTTCCCTTATGAATAAAGATTTTTACACAGCTCTCTGGAATTCTTGATTCTGATTGGTCAATCAAGGCATTCTGTGGTCTAATTTGTATAATCATAATAAACTGTATGATTGTATCACTCTGCTATGGAAAAAAGTTTATATCAGTTCTCGTAAGTCTGACTTTTTTCCTCTGAAATCTGAGTTTACATCTCGCAATTCTGTTTTTCTTTATTGCTTCCGTCATGGAATAAAAATGTAAAAAAATTGCAACTTTTTTTCTCACAATTGCCAGTCTATAGCTCACAGTTCTGAGTTTACACAATTCTGACTTTCTCAATATTGCGAGTTTACATTTTGCAATTCTGAGTTCATATCTTATAATTCTGACTATTTCTTGAAAATGCACGTGTATATCTCACAATTCTGAGTTTATATCCCACATTTTTGAGTTTTTATCTCAAAATTCTGACTTTTTTTCCTCAAAATTGCAAATTTATTTCTTGCAATTCTGACTTTTCTTGCAAGTATTTCTTGTGAGATATAAACTCAGAATTGTGAAAAAGAAAAAGTTGCAACTACAATTATTCCGTGGCCAAAATTTCATGTCAGTGTATTTATTTATTTGGTGAATCAGTGAGATAATGTAAAGTCAGGCAGAAAATATCATAAAATAAACCCTTTTTCTTGAAAATGCACGTGTATATCTCACAATTCTGAGTTTATATCCCACATTTTTGAGTTTTTATCTCAAAATTCTGACTTTTTTTTCCTCAAAATTGCAAATTTATTTCTTGCAATTCTGACTTTTTCTTCAAAACTGCGAGTTTATTTCTTGCAAGTATTTCTTGTGAGATATAAACTCAGAATTGTGAAAAAGAAAAAGTTGCAACTACAATTATTCCGTGGCCAAAATTTCATGTCAGTGTATTTATTTATTTGGTGAATCAGTGAGATAATGTAAAGTCAGGCAGAAAATATCATAAAATAAACCCTTTAAGGGTGATGCAAAACCCTCAGTCCAAAATATTTAAACTGTATAATTGTATCACTGCTATGGAAGCTTGTTTCTGCCACAAAATAAAATTGTGAATTTCATCTCAAAATTCAGACTTTGTTTCTTGCAATTCTAAAGAAAAAAAGTAAAAATTGCAAGACATAAACATAAAATTCAGAGGTTTTTCTCATAAAAAAATTTTCAATAAAAAAGCGACTTTTTATTTCACAATTCTGACTTTTTTCTCACAATTGTAAGTTTGCAATTCTAAGTTTATCTCACAATTTTTACCTTTTTTTCTCAAAATTGCAAGTTTATTCCTCTCAATTCTGAGTTTATATCCCACAGTCCTGACTTTTTTTGTGAGATATTTCTTGCAAGATATATACTTTTATTTTGTTTATCCTGTGGCAGAAACGGGCTTCCATACTCTGCAATCATAATTCAACATTTCATGTCAATGTATTTATTTATTTGGTGAGATAATGCAAAGTCGGACAGACATTATCATGAAATAAACTCGTTCGGAGTGATGCAAACCCCTCAGTTTTAAATAAGGATCCTGATGATCTGACTGTGGTTTATTGCTCATTGTATGTTATTATTTACCTAGATATTTAGCAAATAATTTACTATTAAAGAACTAAATGAAATAATCACTGACATGCTAAATGTAGAATTGCACCTAACACATTTTGTGTGGTTTGATGTATTTTTAGAAACATATTTAGAGCTGTCTTGCTGTTTGTAAGCACATTATGAACAATCAATAGCATTATTATTTGTGCATTTATACAATTTATTTGTTTGGTAAGATTGTTATCCTCTGCTAGCAATTGCACAGGGTGCAATAAAAATAATCTAAATGAATTAGATAAACATTTACAGTATAAAAAAACCTAAGAGACTCACGCACAGCAGGCCACATAATATGAAACCGACATCTCTTTGTTTCTGTTTCAGTTTTGCTTGTATGTGTGCGTTTGCATACAGACATCCACACAAGCGATGTATAATACTGTACAGTGGTGTAAACATTCACATGAAACACGCACTAGAACCCTTCATGCATATCTCAAAGCACTTTTGTCCGATATCGACCATGCAGCCCGTCGATATACATCATACAGTCAGCTGACAATTGCACATCTCATCTTTTCCTCTGTTGCTAAGCAAATGCATCATCTGTCGGATGGTTGTTGCGTGCGTTCTGTACCGCCACGCCTCTTTTACATGCATTAAAGGGATATGGTGATCCTGACAATAAACATGAACGCGACAAAATAAGAATCAAAGAGTGCATTATGAGACGGACGCACTGACTTACCGCTCAGCGATGAGATTTCGCTTTCATTTGCTCGGTTGTGCTCGTGTTCTGCTGGACGGAGGCGCGCGGCGCGGCTGCTGTGTTTTGGTGGTCGACATTGTTGAGAAGAGCGCGTGCTCTTTCGCTGGATTACGTCATAATGTGAGCGTGCACTGGGCTTTTGAATCTCTGAGCTTGTTTCTTTTCTTCTTCTTTTTTTACGGGAGGAGGACTATCATAATAACCTCCTGGGATGCAGGCAAAATTGTATTTGGTGCATAATGTAAATGCATAATATCCATTTCGATGTACGCTAGTCATATTCTTTATTTTTATTACTGTCAGTATTATTTTGTTTTTGTGCATAATGTAAATATAGTACATAATAGTCTTACAAATGTATGATATATTGACTCTTACACAGATCTACTGTACATGTACAGCATCACATGTAAAGCTAAAATAATGAAAAATGATGACAATAACAATATTTTAGAAATATTATAGAATGATATTCTAAAATATGTATAAAAACCAAATGGTCAAAACATATGCGCTATATAGAGACAGACAGACGGACAGACAGACAGGCAACGATAGAACGACAGATAGACAGACAGACAGACAGATAGACAGACAGACAGAAAGGTAGATAGATAGATAGATAGATAGATAGATAGATAGACAGACAGATAGATAGATAGATTAGATAGATAGATAGATATATAGATAGATAGAAAGAATGATAGAACGACAGACAGATAGATAGATAGATAGATAGATAGATAGATAGATAGATAGATAGATAGATAGATAGATAGATAGATAGATAGATAGATAGACAGACAGACAGAAGGACAGGCGGAGAGAAAGACAGACAGAAAGATAGATAGATAGATAGATAGATAGATAGATAGATAGATAGATAGATAGATAGATAGATAGATAGATTGATAGAGCACATGCATATGTTTGAATATTATTAGGATATATTATTTTATATGTTGAATATGTGTACATGTACCAAATTAATATTTGGTTTTCTAAATATTAGCATATGAAATATATTATTATATTACATGCTGTTGGATATATGCATAATCACACACACACACACACACACACACACAATTTATTATTGTATAATATATTATATTATAGAATATTGTTATATGCATGTTTAGAATGTTTTGTTTTATGCATCAATATATATTCTTATTACTGTATATATTATATTATATTATATCTGTTGTGAGTACTGAGTAGCAGTGTTGGAGAAAGTTACTTCTAAAAGTAATGCATTACAATATTGCATTACTCCATAAAAAAAGTAACTAATTACGTTACTTAGTTACTTTTTATGGAAAGTAATGCGTTACGTTACTTTTGTGTTACTTTTTTAATCTGGACAGGGCTTGCTTGTTTGTTTTTAAAATAAAAAAGTTATATTTTTGGCAAATATAAAAGCCTTTTCACACCAAAAGTGAAATGAATAAGCCTCAGGCTGAAGGGAAAGTAAAGTTACGTCCGTACAGTAGAATGCAGAAGAAGACATTTCAACACACTTCAGCAATAAACAAAGACACACAAATGTTTGTCTAGAGTCATTTGTGCTTATTAGTACGCTTGAACTGGATCATCGAAGGGCAGATAGATTAAATGGGATTAAATACATAAAGGATATTTGTGTTGTTTAACATTTAAAGATTTATTTGTGGATCTCATTCTATTTATTTGTGGATCATAATCTATTTATTTGGAATTAAGCAACAATTCTACCCCCATAAGTTTTATCATCCTACCGCTAGAGGCGTTAAGCGCCATAGCGCCGCTATTCATCATCCTACCGCTAGAGGCGCTGCAGCACAATATACTACTGGCCCCTCTCGCTGTCCTCACGGCATTCCACAGATGATAGACTTCTGAGGGATGAGAGGGGAATGCTAAGGAAATGTTTTCCTTCAGCACAGAAAACGGGCTGCTGTTCACCCCAGCAGACAGCAGAATGTGACTGAAATATCGCAGGCGAAGACCGTCAACCAGGTAACGTTAAGGAGGTAGTTAGAAATAAAACGCCGCTGAGTTTTAACGAAGCGTTGCTGTTTGGTTTGTGTTGTAATTGACACGTCGCTTTAGCAGTGCAGCTGATGGCCCTCAGACAGACGCCTCACTAAACACACACAGGTATCAACGAGCGCCTTCACAGAGACAGTTTTCACACTTCCCCGTCAGAGGCTCAGCGGGTTTTAGCAGCTTACAGGGTGTAATGTCTCGGTGAATATAAACCTCTGCTGACTGGAGCTGCAAAAGAATATTTAACAGCTGGTTCATCCTGTGATTTATGGTAAAGCTGACAGATTTCCTGCAGCTGACAGGTGAGAGATACTCATTTTGTGTAGTTGGATCAGTATAACAGAAGACCGTTTAATGCTGATTATTTAGGTTTAGAATAAATTATTTTTATAATGTAGTTTATTGTGCTTGGCTATTATGCATATTAGGTTAGCTATAAATGCATCAAATGAATCTGCTGCTTCTGTCTTAATCTGAGGTTGTGATGAGGGTTATGCAGCTTTCGAAGTTAAAATTAAACTGCAATTTAATTTTGTTATCAGACCTGAAATATTTTCATATACTGTGGTTTCTGCTGGCGAATGCTTTTTCTCAGGGGCGTAGCCATTATTTCAGAAGTGAGGGGGACAGAAAAGTTATATATATATATATATATAAAACATTACAATATAACATTTCTGTAATCTATATAAGTTACCAGTCAACAGTTTTTGAACAGTAAGATTTTTAATGTTTTATAAAGAAGTCTCTTCTGCTCACCAAGCCTGCATTTATTTGATCCAAAGTACAGCAAAAGCAGTAATGTTGTGAAATATTTTTACTATTTAAAATAACTGCTTTCTATTTGAATATATTTTAAAATGATTGCTGTGATCAAAGCTGAATTTTCAGCATCATTACT